ATCAATGTTAAAACAAAAAAGAAAATAACAGTACCACTCATAAGTGTTCTGGTTTATCTCCTCAGGGATAGAGCTCACTGCTGTACTTAACAAGTAACTGCCAAAAAGAAAAGAAACAAACAAACAAACAAACAAAAAACAAAGACTATTTTCATAAAACCTTGAACTAGTTTAGTTGAATTACTGTAAATGCATAGTGAGGTCTGCCCTCCATCGCGCTGGCATGTGGGGAGGTTGTTCTTTCTACTTGGAGGAAAGATCTTCCCGAGCTCCTCAAATCCACAGCCAGCAGTTGATTGAAGCGTGGGTACATTATTTTGGATGTCCTTCAAACTTAATTATCTTACCTGAGAACACTAAATGTTAGCATTGAATATCACTTAAAAATACTGTTCGTTCACCTTAAGAAAGCACAAAAGTACTCTCTTTTCACTTCCTTGCTTTAAAGTATCAGAAAACTAAGCCCTTAAAAGTTCAGATCCATAATTTTTGAGGGGAGGAAAATTTTGGAGTTTTGAGAGGTGCACAGAAAAGGAACATATTAGATAACCGGACTGTGTAAGACTGTAAGGCTTTTTAAAATTCCATGATCTTTGCTGCCGTCAGTTAGTCAGTTAAAAATATATTTATGGGAAGCTGTTAGAACTTCTAATAATGTCTTGAGTTTGCATCAGTTTCCTCCTCCCTCATTCCATTGTTCTCATCCCACAAAAATGAGAAAACATTTAGTGTATAATAGCAGTTGAAAATCTAAAAATTTTTTCTTTTTTTCTTTTTTTCCAAATATCTGAGGGTTTGTATGTGTGTGTGTGGTTCTGAAAACTTTTGGTAATACTTTTAGGTTACATGGTGCTTTAATACATCAATATAGCTGGAACTTTAGGGGTTAAACTTTTCTGGGATTTTTTTTTTTTTTTTTTTTTTTTTTTTTTTTTGCTCTGGAAGAAGCTGTATCATTTCACTCCAGAAATTCTGGTGGGTTGATGGTATGACACTAGAAATAATAGGACAAGCAAAACAGCCTGCTTTGACAGAGAAGCCCGTTTTAACTTTTGTTGGTATTCACTAGGGTTTCTCACATAAATACATGTGAATAACTTTTTTAAAATGTCCAATACTTGCAAAAGCAGTTTTGAGGCTTTAAAGTGTTAGCTCTCACTTACATATCCTGAAATATCCTCCTGAGATGGCTTGCTAATTCCTAGAGTAGCTTCCCTGCCTCACACTCTGTCAGTTTGGGAAAGAAAAAAAAAAAAAAAAAATCCAGCCTGATGACACAAGCCCATAAAATTTTCTCTTCACATCGCTCTCCGCTACCATTTCTGCCTTGTGAGGCTGGCCTCTTCATTGCCCTGCTCCTCCTCTATGACACATGTCCCCTAAGTGGTCTACCTCCAGTTCTTCTCTCCCTCCAGACAGACCCTCCACCCCCACAGAGAGATCTTTCTAGAACATTAATCTGATAGCTTAGCTCAAACACTTTGATGGTTCCCCTGATAGATAGCACAATAGTATTTCTCAAAAGACTATCTGAGAATTTTTGGAAAAAAAAAATTATTATTCTTTTTTTATGATAAGAAAAAAAGAATCAACCAGCATGCTTTTCCTCAAAATGCATAATTTGTGACTGAGTACAGCTATCCGGTTCATTGTTCTGTGGCATTGATGCCAAATCTCGTACCTTCTAACAAAGCATTTGCTTCTCAAACCAATATGTGACTTGAAGCCATGTTCTCAGAGGCATTTTCCTTTTGAGGAGACTCAGATAATACTTTGCTTGTGAGAAAGAGTGGCCCAGAGGACAGAGTCCAAATCTCCAGGGTAGACGAAAGGCCCTTTTACTATTCCTGCCTTTTACTGTTCCTCCCGCTGGATCTCCTTCCCGTTGTCCACAGCCCCTGAGTGACAAGCAGCCTCAAACTTAGCGGGTCATCTCGAGCACTTGCCTTTCTCTGGCTTAGGCCATTTCTCGCCAGTGATAATTCCCTCTCCTCTACCCATGTACCGTAAACTCGGCTTTTCCTGAAGACCCCAGTCCCAGGGACAATTAAAAACTTACACTGAGGCTACAGTTATTATACACACAGGGAATCGTGCCATCAATGAACTACCCCAAAATTTAGTGGCTTAAAGCAATATTTGCTATCACACAATTTCAGTGGGTCAGGGATCTGGGGGTGTGCCTTCACCTGAGTTCTCTGGCTCTGTGTCTCAAACAGGTTGCAGTCCTTCCTAGCAACTCATGTAGTTGTTGGCATGATTCAGTTCCTCCCTGGCTGTTGGACTGAGGCCTCCATTTCTTGTGACCTATTGCCGGCGGGGGGCTCCTTTCGTCTGTGGTCTCAAAACATGACGGCTTGTTTCATCCTAGTTAGCCAGAGAGGGGAAGAGAGAGCGTGGGCAAGAGAGAGAACAGAAATCACAGTCTTTTGTAACCTAATCACAGAAGTGGTATGCCATTATTGCTGCATTTTTCTTCACTAGAAGCAAGGCACCGGGTCCAGCCCACACTCCAGGGCATTCCATGCTAGGAAGTGGGGATTATTGTGGACTGTCTGTGATGTCCTCTCCCACAGTCTACAGGATACCTTTGGGCACGCCCAGGTGGGAAGCATGGCTGATGGGAAGGTTCCCTCTGTATTATGTCCCTGTGTGCCATGGTGTGGGCATCTTGGTGTCATGACTGGGATTCCAAGGTTAAGTGGGAGTGATAGTGTAAAGAATCTGGCTCTTAAATGCCATTTAAAAGTGAACTCCCTTGGGGCGCCTGGGTGGCTCAGTCCGTTGAGCGTCCGATTTCGGCTCAGGTCATGATCTCGCGGTTTGTTAGTTCAAGCCCCTCGTTGGGCTCTGTGCTGACAGCTCAGAGCCTGGAGCCTGCTTCGGATTCTGTGTCTCCCTCTCTGTCTCTGACCCTCCCCCGTTCATGCTCTGTCTCTGTCTCAAAAATAAATAAACGTTAAAAAATAAAAAAAAGTGAACTCCCTCATCTAATCTTCAGTTGAAGGAAAAAACGGTCTATTTTAGTGCTGGAAGAAGATCTCTCCGTTGGACTTACTAAGGAAAGGTGAAAAATCTCACCAAGGGAGAGCATTCTTAAGAGATTACAAATGTAATCTTGACTATGCAGTTTTAGGTTTATGGCCCGATTTTAACTTCTAACCCAGAGTAAGATAAGAGTCCTCTGTATTTTCAAGTCTAGCACCTGTAAAACTGCTACACTTTACTTACCTCTCTCTGGACTGGGAGCTGCTTGACAGCTTGGTCCATGCCTAATTCATTTCATTTTTTTAAAAATGTTTATTTATTTTGAGAGAGAGAGAGAGAGAGAGAAGGAGCAGGGGAGCGGCAGAGAGAGGGAGACAGAATCCCAAGCAGGCTCCACACTGTCAGCACAGAGCCCGATGTGGGGCTCAAACGCACGAACCATGAGATCGTGACCTGAGCCTAAATCAAGAGTCAGATGCTTAACCTACTGAGCCAGCCAGGTGCCCCCCACACCCAATTATTTCTAATGCCAACACTTCACCTGGCACTTAGGATCTCAGTATTCTTTTAAAATGCACGTACTAACTTGATAGATTTTCCTGTTGTTGTGGTTTTTTAATACATCTAGTACTGAATTTACTAAGCATATTGGATAGAGTTTCCATGGTTGAGAAGTTGACAGATCTTTGTCTGGCATAATGCTTCACAAAGATGAAGTCTGTAATCTCTATTAATTTCTGTGTTATTTTGCTAGTTAGTTAGAGCATTAGCGGTTTTGCCCTTGAATCAAAGTTCTCTACTTTCCCTCCGTGGTTTCCAAATATTTTGTCCTTTTGAGTCAAGGGAATTGCCCTGATTTTATGATGACATTTGGGTAAGATATTTAAACTGTTAAAAGTTATAAAAACGACCCTTTGGTATTAAATGTAATAAATGGCTCTGAATTGAATACATGCACAGATTCTCTTATCTGAGCTTCATGAGCCCACACTGCTCCATTACATATTCTCATTGTAATTGAATTCTATGACATTCTCTCAACTCCTAAGAGTATGCCAGGCCAGGAGAACTCCTCATGGCTTGGTGCTGATGTATACCTTGGGCCTTTTGAAGTGTGGGGGTTTCATCTCTACCTGTATGTGGCACCTGTAGTACTGTTGGTCTTACCCAATCTGGAAGAAGCAGGGGAGTCTCTGTAAGAAAAGAAAAGAAAACAAACAAAAGCTAGTTTCATCCCTCAGATATTTATCACAACCCTCAAAGAAAGGAGCAGAGACATGACTTCTAGAACCCAACCTATCTTTGCTCAGCCTCACCTTTACCAAGAATATTGTCTTTTCTTTCCTTGTGGATACTCTGCACTGGGTATATTTGTCCTGGGTGTATTTGTATTTTTCTTTGTAATTCCATAATACTGTGCTTGCATGTCTTAGACCATAAATCCCTCAAGGCCAGAGGTTATTCTCTTCCCTCCTTTTCTCTTTTGATACCTTTGGTCTCTTTTCCCATTTTATACCCACTCGAACAGCATTCCAGAAATAGTAGCCAACACATAAGAGGTCTGGTCTAGACTTATGCATGATGTGTTAGAGTAGAGTGGAGATGACGGGCTGGAACATGTGAAAGGCTTGGAGTGAGGCATGAAGGTGAGTTCCTCAAGGCTTCCAAACAGCACTGCCTTAACTCCACGTGGGTCAGGATGGGTGCCTGGCTCTCCTCTGACCCTCTCAGTGCCCCAGAGTATGTTACTGCCATGAAATTGTATCGTCATATTTTCTAGTTGTGATTCCTTCACAGTTTAATATGCTTCTAGTTCTGGTTTGACTTTTCCCCCAGGACGAGGCTAAAATCTCTTCATTATAATATAGACAGTGTACTGCACTTTGAATACAAATTTATCCATGTTCAGAGTAATTTTTCTTGTGATTGTCTCTACCCTGGAGAAGTGCCTTTAATGAATTACATACAAATTGTGTAATTTAAGAAGTTAATTTGGTTTTCTGGTTACACAGGACTAAAAACAGCCCTTGTAGAAAGAGATGATTTCTCATCAGGGACCAGCAGCAGAAGCACTAAATTGATCCATGGTGGTGTGAGATATCTTCAGAAGGCTATCATGAAGTTGGATATTGAGCAGGTAATTGTGTATGCTGGTTGTTAAACAAAAAATTGCGACTATGCTTTTTTCTACCCAATTAAATCAGGGTGTTTTTTTTTTGTTTGTTTTGTTTTTTTTTATGGCTTTTAACATTTCTTCCTGTTGGAAATACCTATTTAGTGTGTATTCTGCTGGAGTATCTTTCAGGAGGGGTGTGTCATTTCTTTCCTGTAGCATCATGTTTATGGGTGATCAGGGGCTTTTTCTACACAGGCATGTCAAAATAGCAGATTTACAAAATCACTTTTGGATATGTTGCCTCTTAACAATTGTGATTGTTTCTTTGTTCTTTCATTTGTTTGTTTTGCCAATGGCTACCAAATTGCTACTTTCTGGGCAGTGTTGTAATACAGGAGTGTTCAACTGATCCTCTTAACTGTAATTGCAATCACACGCTCGTATTGTCACTGACATATTCCTAAGGAGAAGATGTTCTGAGTCATGCTTTTCTTATGTCACACTTTATTGTGTCCAGTCTGCCACCATTTGAAAACTGCCAAGGCAGTGTGGAAGATGACATTTCCCAGAGGGGTAAAAAAAAAAAAATCAGCTGAACTCCCTATCTGCTTCTGGTACATGAAAAACAGAGCAGTGCTAACTTGACATTGTCAGTTTTGAATGTGTCCTCTTTTCTTACGTGTCTCTTCGGCATCATGATGGATGCAAAGAAAAGAGCATAAGACTTAGAATCAGATGACTTGTGATGTGTTCCAGATTACTTATTCCATTTCTATGAGCCTCAGTTTTCTCATTTTTAAGTTAGTGTTATAGTAATAATAATGCTAGCTCTTTAGAGACGCATAACGAGGACGAAAGGAGTAAAGACAAACGCTTTTCTGTAATCTGTGAAATACTGTGCAACTCCTAAGTATTATCTCTGCTTGTGTTAGTGGAGGCAGGAAGGGAATATTTAGCATGAATTTGAACAATCTGTTATTTCTTACATGGGGAAATATTATAGAGGACTGAGAAAGCGGACAATACAGAGAATGCAAGATAAATTGTTACAATAATCTTGTAACTCAAGTCGGGAAAATATCTTACACCTGGGAACTCTGACAGCATGTTTTTCTCCTATGCAAATACAGTTAAGGTTTCTAAAAAATCTTTCAGGTTGACAGCATGATGTATTATTAGAACTTTGATTAGGAGGGAGCGATCCTCACTCAGAGGTAGAGAGGTTTCTGTGTATCAATCAGTTGGCAGGGTGTCTATTTGCCATTTGAAAATATTATGATCTGTTACTGCCAAACTAATTTTCTCTGTTTTGCTTTTCAGTATAGGATGGTAAAAGAAGCCCTTCACGAGCGTGCCAACCTACTAGAAATTGCTCCCCATTTATCAGCTCCGTTGCCTATAATGCTTCCTGTTTACAAGTAAGCCTTTTGATATCACCTATATACTATTTGCTTAATTGAGGTCAATAGAAGAACACAGTTTTAATGGAAATAGTTCCTCAGTGTGTATTTCTTAATGTACTTTTAATTGGTCCTAATCTTTAATCCTTTTCAAACATTTGCCTTTGTTGTGTTTAAAAGTGTGGCTTTTCCTAAATTGCCCTTTTCTGACCCAACTCTAAGGGCTAGATCTTGAAGGCCAAGGCGGTTGTCCTCTATATTTATAATTAGTATTTCTTCCCCCAGTTTACTGAGAGTCTAAAGACGAGCGACTGCATTTGTACCAGGGAACAGAAGAGGGTCATTTGCACACTAAAATGCACAGCTTAAAAGTACCTTGCTGCAAAATCTGAACCTAATATGTACCAACTCCAAGCCTAAACCATTTTGGCTCATTTTAAATTTCCAAGTTAGCCAAAACCGAAGTTTGGTTCAGAGGTGTCGGATGGTAAGCTATAAAACCCAATTTTCCTGATTTTGTTAGAGCTGGTCCATTAAGTCACCTTAAATTGGAATATAGGTAATATGAGACAGTGGATTATGTAACTGCTAGCCACATGAGGGTTGGGGTGCCTAGAAACAGATTTTATCATTTTCATCCATATTTTGTCATAGATTGCTTAGGACATCTCAAGCCAGTGATTCTCTCCCCTGGTTGCACATTAGAGTCACCCAGACCCCCAACTCTCGTCTCTAGACCCGTGAGGCCCCGGTATCTGTATGTATGTTTATGTTTATGTTATGTTTATGAGGCCCAGGTATCTGTATGTATGTTTATGTTCATGAGAATTCTCCCTAGAGAATTCTCATCTGATGAGAATTCTCCCTAGAGAATTCTCATCTGAAGCCAGGTCGAGAAGCACTGCCTTAGGGATGATTCATTTAGAGTCTCACTGATTCATTTTCTTATATAATTCAGCTTGGTTGGTGTCAAAAACAGTTTTGTAGTTCCTCCTGTTTCCTTTGCAGCAAATACACCTCTAGATATACTTTGCTTTTCTTAAATGCAAAGTATATTGTAACTTACAGTGACATTCTAGAATGTTCTACCCTGTGTCTCAAGAAACCTTTCCCCCTATTTATGCCATAGGTGGTGGCAGCTACCTTATTACTGGGTAGGAATCAAGCTATATGATCTGGTTGCAGGAAGCAATTGCCTGAAAAGCAGTTATGTCCTCAGCAAATCCAGAGCCCTTGAACATTTCCCAATGCTCCAGAAGGACAAACTGGTAGGAGCAATCGTCTATTATGACGGTATGTGATTTTTCTTTTTACAAGGCACTTCTCTCTTACTCATGGCCCTTACAGTATGTTCTTAATGACATAGTTTCACATTATTAATTTTAATGCTGGTCTTCTACAACATACAAACACATATGCGTGTGGGCACACACACACACAAACACACACACACACCACTTTGTCTAATATTAGCTGAAACACTACTCGTGGTGTTTTGATTTTAACATTTTTCAGTTTTTGAGCATTCTTTTTCTTCTTTGATTTCTACTTTGTCTCATGGTTGGTTTGGTTCATTTTCCATCATTATGAATTTGGGCCGCACCCTCATGCCATTTAATTTGTTCCACGTTTGCCAGTGAATACTTGCCTTATGAATATATTATAATGTTGAAAGCAGCTGAATATCTGTTAGGTTTTCTAGATGAAACCTCTATTTTCAAGGGGTTATAAACCTAGAGAAAAATGCCCTCTGGGCTGAAATTGACATGTTTGTATTTTGCACAGGACACAATTCTTGAACGTATAATTTATGTGATGAGGTAGATGAACATTGCATCTGTTAAACCAAAGCCTCAGTTTTTATTGCTTATTTTTTTGTTGTTAAATGTTTTCTAACAGAAACATTATCTAATATCCATTTGCCATGTGTTCCTTGTTCATTCTTTGTGTGTGTGGGTGGGTATGGGTATATGTGAACAATATAATTTTATACACTTTTATTTGAAGGACTTAACCACTTAATATGTCTCCAGATGGACCACAATGCAACACAAAACAAAACAGGAAAAGCCATTTGTGAAATTGTACTATGGTTTTAAAGGGTGTATGGAATCACAGAATAGTCCAGGGATGGATGTCTATTTATAAAATAAATAGCTGGACACAGATAATTGTACACGTTCAAAAAGTCTTGGAAATTTTGTGTCACAAAAGACAGCTTGGGCTCTATAGCTCAGTGGGTTGTTTTTTTTTTTTTTTTAACCCCATTATGTGACCTTTGTATTTCATCTTACATATCTAAACTCTTAGCATGAAGAAATGTTCGTTGTTGTTGTTTTCTGTTCTTTTTGTTTGTATGTTTTCAGGAGACTTTGATATTTACACTTTATATTATAGGATATCCTCAAGCCTACCCCCACCTTTTTTCTTCTTCTCAGTGTTAGATTTCTGAATCAATTTAGCTGTCTGTCATGCTTCATGTATGAATGCAGAATGTATATGTGCAGAGGGGGCAACAGGGACAAACTCAAGAAAATGTCCTAGGAGCAACAATATTGGAAAAATGTTAAGGGTCTTAGACAAACATTAAAAGCTAGAGAATTCACAATTTACAGTGCCTTCCAGCATCTAAGCACCACGGTGGGGGGGGGGGGGGGGGGGGTGGCACTTAACTACTTTTTGGTGCCCTTGTTGAGCCTACATGTTAAAGGACAACCTTAACTGTGAATTTGCTTTCTCTGCATCAGACCCTTAATGCTAATCCATTGTAGTTTAGTGGGTGATTATATTAAAGAGGTTTTGGGTCCAGGAGGAGTAAGAAGGCATTCTGCAAATGACATCCTTTCCATCCTGACAAGGAAGTGTTTGTGCCCTTTGCCTCCTATTACCCATCCCTCCTGGCTAAACCCTCTCAAATACTTGGTCATTTTCTTTACCATGTGATGTATCAAATACTAACTAGTTTTATTTTTTAGCCTGTGCATATCTGAATCTCCTTGAGAGGACTGTAAGTGGATGTCACATCTGAATTTGTGGCATCCTGTTTTTCGTTGGTTTGATATTGTTGTGATTTTTACAGATTCTTATTGATTCTACATAGAGGAACCAAGGGAAATTTATGTCACATGTGCAGAAGAAACATCATCTAATTAGAAGCAAGAGAAGAATTTCTTTAATCTAAAATTGGGTTTTAGGGCACCTGGGTGGCTCAGTCAGCTAAGTGCCTGGCTCTTGATTTCTACTCAGGTCATCCTCTCATGGTTTGTGAGATAGACCCCCTGTGTTGAGAAGCCTTCTTGGGATTCTCTCTTTCCCTCCCTTGCACTTTCTGTCACTCTCTCAAAATAAATAAATAAACAAATAAAATAAAATAAAATAAAATGAAATAAAATAAAATAAAATAAAATAAAATAAAATAATAAAATAAAATAAAATAAAATAAAATAAAATAAAATTGGATTTCATACCTTGTTTATAGGTTGCAAAATTATGAGTTCAGCAAGAATTATTGAAAAATATAAAAATTATTATGTAAAATAATTTCAAATTGGTATTTGAAAGTTGACTATAAAAATCTTAAATCTTGAAGGGATAAAATAATTATATTCTAGTCATTTGAGATTATTTATATTTATATTTATATTTATATTTATATTTATATTTATATCCTTGTTCTGAAATAATACAGGTCCAGCTATGTCCTGTATTTGAGGTGAGGCAAAACAAGAATGTGCAGCAAAGTATAGTTTTATGGTTTCACAACTGTATTCACTGACAGAGCAACTCCTGTTTTACCTAATGGTGTGATGAGCAAATTAAATATCAATGAGGAAGTAAGGTAGAAAGGAGCATATAAGTAAGGGCATTACTCTGGCTTACTACACTTACGTGTAGTGTGTGCTCAGAGAAAGGAAGGAATGCCCTACCCCTTGACCAAAAAGGAACATTATCATCCTGTCACCAGAGTATTTCAGAGAGGAAAAGGTACCGGAATATTTACTATTGCAAATGAGGTCTATACATTGTAATTTATAAGGTAAAACTTTCTTAACAAGAAAAGAAAAAAATCTTCTTTATAACTGACCATTATGAGAATGTAATAAGTTACCCAAATAACGTCAAAATGAATTTGGGCTGCTGGAAATAACTTTTTTTTTTTCTTTTTTACTGAAAAATAATTTATTGCAGTGCAATTCACATAACGTAAAATTAACCACTTTAAAGTGAGCAGAAATAATAATTTTTATAACTCCCAACTTGGGAGAATCTTGATTATGAAAAAGTGGCAAAAGTAATTAAATTGAACTTCTCAGTGCTACAAGAAGTTAGGCTAACTAAACACTCTTATTAGTAATTCATTATACAGTTATTTCAGCACCAATGAAAAGTAAAATATAACAGTACAAAAACATAGTCAAACCAGTAAACATTGCCATTACCTTAGACCAGTGGCTGAGAAAGTCTTTAAAGTTCCTACAAGGCTGGATGTTAGGGCCTTGAGGTGTTCCCTCTGACATACAAAATGTACAAAGATCAACATAGTTTTTCTTAATTATTCGTAGGAATAGTTCATCCTAAATAAATAGTGATGGCCATTGCATTTGAGTAAGGCAAAATGTATTCCTCCACAAAAGTCAATACGGGTAATAAAATAAATTCCACATACTTTCAAATGTAGTAATTATAGCGGTTATTATGTGCTTGGCATAGGTATGATCCATTGCCATATTTTGTTGTTAAGTGCTGAAAAACAAACTCACCCATATGGAGGAATAAGTACCATCTTTTTCAGTGCAAAGTAAATGTCAAATTTCTCAGTGAAATTTATATGAAATGAAAGTTGGGATTGGAAGGAACAGATCAGGTTATATTTTCTTCATCTATTCTGTTAGAGAAAACACACAGTCAACTCACTGGTTTTATGACTGAGACGTAATCCTGGTGGTGCTTACCTGTTTCTTGCCTTCTGCTACCAGAGAGCCATCGGCTGATGCCGGCCATGGTCATTACCTCTAGTAAGGGGGTACCAGGTAGTATGGAGGCTGCTTCAACTCTCCTAAGTCAGCCAGAAGTATTTAAGGCATGACACTCTTGAGCAACTCGGCATGCCATGAGATAGGAATCAGCGCAGGAGGGGGTGCCGGTTTCTTCAGGAACTTATTTTGCCTTCCTCTGTCAACTTTACTTCAGTCTATCTGTTTCCAGAGTATGTTCTTTGCTGCCATTCTAGTTGGACTCCAGTTATCCAATCCAGTGCACAGAACATGAGATATAATTAAAAAATCATTAAATATTTAAAACCATTAAATACAGCCATTAAGCTTCTATAAGATGAGACTGGAGAACAAAATTATGGCTTTAAATTCTTCCTTGTGAGCATCAAGGCACTGACAGAGAGAGATGTCTGTTATTTCATACCCAATGATGCCCTTAAGTATTCCTTATGCACATATGAAAATCGCAACCTACAGGAAATTACATTAGCTTTCCTAATGTAAATAAAAGTCGGTTATATCCATGTTTCAAAGGGGGAATTAAAGCCCAGGTTTCACTAGAATATTCATTTTTATTCCAGCCTAAAACTCAACAGCATACAAATAGATGAATTCAGCTCGTGAGAGAGCAAAGCCAATTTAATCTCTGGCTCCCCTGAGGTAAATGTAGTTCACGGTCCTGCCCCCACCCCAACCTCAGCTATAATCCCTGGCTCCTGGAGGTAAAAATGCACTGAAGTGAGGAAAATTCTGCAGCAGGATATAATGATCCAAAATGACAGGGACAATAATGACAATGAATTTCATGTCTCCCAGTCATGAGCTGGAGATGCTTGACTAGGCTGACTTCTACAATTAAATTGTTACAGGTACAGCAGGAGATGCAGTTAGCTGTGCGCTTTGGGGAACGATGCCTCTGGCAAAAGGCATATTGTGGAATCCAGACTCTTTTGTTAGGAACAAACTATTACTCCTCTAGGCAGGCACCCTCAGTTGTATGCTTAAATAAAAGAAATCCTGGGTTAAAGGCAAGTCTTTTAAGGTGTTGATTTTATCTGCTTGGAAACCTTAAAAAAAAAAAAAAAATCAATTACCCAATAACACAAAGGTGATTTGTTTCTTCTTTTTTGGTCTTATGCTTTTGTTTTTGTTTTTCCTTTGAGTCCCTGGAACATAAGTCAAACCTAAAGATGGTGCCTTTAATTCTCATTTACCCTATTTGCAAATACAGCTGTTGAACCAATTGGGTGTTACCAACTTTAATCTGACAGACACATTAATTTCTTCAGAGTAATAGAA